ATGGAGTCGATTTTGCGTAATATAAGACCTTTAAGACCCCCAGAGCACTCCAAACGATCAGAGCGCTGCACTGGTTTTGTGTTTATTGTAGCTAATCTGCAGCAGCTTCACCAATCCTCACAGTGTGGATTTATGTAAACAAGAAACATGTGAGGAAATACTCTCTCCTTTTTACTTTTTTATCATTTTAAAGAACACTTCAAACTAGATTAACAGTGCAATGTTTCATGTGCTGGATGTTATTTGCAGAGGATAAAATTCTAATAGATAAAAGGACATGTGTGGGGGTGCTGTAGTTCATCTTTAGGCTGCAGATTTACAAGAGGTGAGTAACCAAGTAATTATTGTCCTTTTCGCTATTTTCCATGTTTGTATCCTGTGCCTCGGTGTCCGTCATTCCCTTTTACTGGCTGTTGTCATGGTAATGTTTTATGGTTATTATATCACAGAGCAGCTGTAGGATCAACTAAAGTCGGGTTACGTTAAGTCGGGTTAAGTCAGTGAGAAACAAATCTGGGCCTAAATCAAGCAAATCATTTGTTTTTGAGTGCCTACTTCCATTCTCTTGTTGTTTTTAAACTGTGCGTTGCAACACTGGAGTTTCCCCATTGTGGGATATTGTGGGATTCTCTTATTTTAATCCTGTTGTGTGCGGCAGGCTTAAAGTTAAAGGCCCAATATTACGCAAACTTTAGTCTTGTGAGCTTTAAGTCATGTTATAATGCTGTTACCTCACGAAAAACATACCTGGGGTAGAGTTTTGTTTCATTCACACATGTTTGAGTAATCCTGCATTATTTGTCAATGTGGCCAAACCTCATGTCAAAACCTGATCTCTTCAGATCTTAGAAGCAAAGCAAGGCCGGGCCTGGTTAGTACTTGGATGGGAGATCACTGGGAATATCAGGTGCCACAGTGAGTCAGCAATAGCAAAAACTGTTGTTGTATCTTTAGGCAAGACACTTCTCCACTTAATTTCATTTCTCTCCAGCGACTAGGTCAGGAATCGGAATATACTAGATGGTTTGCAAGAACCCCGGAAGTGCGAGTTCGGGCACCAGCCAATCAGCGAAGAGCCATACATTCAGTGTTGGCAACGATTCCCAAGATTGAGAATTTAAACCCAGAATAAAGACAATGTTTGGTGAATTTCATCAAAGGGAAAGGCGTTATTGCCCTTATTCCTACAGGATTTAGGAAAAGCTTAATATACCAGTTAGCCCCGTGAGCGGCGCATTACATACATCAAGACCAAATAGCAGCAATTGGTTAAATGAAAAAAGTACCGACCTACCGTCAAGCGAATGAATTCTAACACTGCAAGGTCAGACGGTTTCTACCAAGTGAAACCGGCTAATGAATCAGGCTAAAACACTTCACCCACATTGAAGTGCAATCAATAATGCACCAAAATTATAAATCAACTATGAGCGTGAGAGTGTTTTCTGTTTAAGCAAAGAACTGGGCCTAAATATGCAGGGTTTGTGAGTTAAAATGTGTAAATGAAACAAACAGGGAAAAGGTGTATGTGTTTGATGAAGAAACATTATAACAGCTCAGAAAATAGTGCAATATGGGCCCGTTAATCAAAACCCTTGTCTGAAAATGCAAAGTGGTCAGTCTGTAATGTGTACAGATAAGTGCAGAGTGAAGTCAGGAGAGAGAAGCATGCCCTCTAGATGAGTTCACCACACAGACATGCCCACAGTCCTGAGTGACTAATGAAGTTTGTTGTGATCCACACCAAACCACCAGGTGCGAGCCTTTCAGCTGTTCAGACCAGCTGGGTCACATGACGTCACCACTGATGTGCCCGGGTCATGTGATGGACTGCTCCAGCGCGGGTTTATAGAGATGTTTGGAAGGTTTAAGAAAAGAAAAGAAATGCTGCTCTGAATGCAACCTCAATGTAGTGCAGAAAGAACAAATACATAAATGCAATGTTTGGTGAGAGCTTCATTCACTCTCAAAGTATCACAAAAATATTCTCAAATACCCCTGTTTTATATAGGCTATAAATGGCTAATTCTAAATCAGTAAAAAGTAGAAATGATATTTATTGTAATGTCTCTAACATACTTATTTTCTAAATACTTTATACCAGACATGTCAAACTCTCGCCCGGGGGTCAAATTTGGCCCACAATATAATTATATTTGGCCCACGAGATCATATCAAATATGTATTGGAGCTGCTCGCTGGCTACAGATAAACTATAGAGACATTATTTATTTCAAATGTTGTTATTATTTTATATTTTGCTTGTTCTGGATTCTTTGTCTAAGCAAAACTATTGGTAAACATTTATTTTAATAAGAAAAGGTTCAACATTACATATCTTGAAGAAGAGAAAACTTGCAGATGTTGTTGAAATTTTCAATAAATATTTAGTTTGGCCCACGACTTAGTCCCAGTTTTTAATTTTGGCCCTTTGTGAATTTGGCACATCTGTTTTATATAGTAAACTAACACTACAATATCCTGATCAAAAATTAATATCTCAATATTTTTTTGGAATATCATGCAATATTATGAAAATCCAGCAGAAATATGTTAAAACTTGTGACTAAATATGTATTTGTTCAGGTTTTTGTATCAAATAACTGTAAAATTACCCTCTAAAAGTACAGAAATATAACGTTATACTCTTTAAGAGCCCATATTACACAAATTTCTGATCAGTCAAAAATCATGTTTTTCTCATCACAAACATTTTGTTTCATTCACACATTTAAACACACAAATCATGCATATTTAGGCTGAGTTCTTCTCTCAAACTGAAAACACTCATTCCACCTTGTGATGTCATGTTGTAATACAGGAGGTGCTCCACTGTGTTTGATGTGTGTTTCAGCCCTGAAATTAACTGGAATCTCAGCTGAACTACAGGTAAAAGGTAGTTGATAACTTGAAAACTACCACTTCATGACAATCACTGAGGTAGAAAATGTTTGAATGAAACAAAACACAACTCCAGGTATGATTTTAATGAGGTCAGAACATTATAACATGACTTAAAGCTCACAAGAGTCAACTGTGCATAATATATGACCTTTAAGTATTTTGCCATTTTTATTGTTACTCAGTTTTTTTTTTTGCAGCAGTTTAAAATAATCATCTAGGAAGGGTATAGAGAGCTACTGGTCCTGAGCTACAGGTAGAAGACTTGTAGCTCACACAAACTTGATCATAACCACGTCTGATCCCATTTAAATGCATTCTGTCTTGTGATTTGAAATTCCTCACATCTTGTAGTGTAACATACAAACTGCGCGGTGGACACTATGCTAACACTATGCTTACAGCACAGTTTTTTCTTCTTTCCCAATTCCAAACAGTCCGGGGGCTGGCGGGGAGTTGAGAAATAGCTTGTTGAGGACAGACGGCAGGATTGTGGGGCGCAGAGAGGCGTAAATGCAGACTGTAATTGATGATCTTGTCAGGGAGCCTCCTGTAAAGTCCAGCCAGATGGAAATGAGGCGGAGAGAGTGTGCGAGCGCGTGTCCACTGCAAACTCCCGTCCAGTTTCACAGTTCTGTTTTTGTGCATCACCGTTTTGTCCATGTACGTTTAAAGGACGTGTGTGTGTGTGTGTGTGAATGGGGCTCATGTATTTGACAGGCCGAGCACAAAATCCTCACCAGGGGACGCAGGAGGAGACTGGCTCTGTTTGAGTGGTCAGAAGGGAGCCATGGTGGAGGGGAGAGGTCTGAATTTAATATTTTAACTTTTTTTTTTTTTACTTCTGGACAACTCTCAATTAAAAGAAGAGAAAGAAAATATAGGAATTGGATGCAAACATATAATTACTAGTATAATTACTAGTGGTAGTCAAGACTGCACTAATCGAGACCAAGACCTGTCCGAGACCACAGGGTTCCCAGACTGAGACAAGACCAAGACCTCTGAGAGTTGAGACCAAGACAAGACCAAGACTTTTAAAGGCCGAGACAGAGACAAGCCCAAGACCATGACTCATCGAGACCAAATCAAGACCATCTTTGTCATTTCCTACATTTATTGTATTTTACAGTTATTTTGGCACATATATAATAATGATTAAAAAAAAAAAAAATCTATCTCCATGTTGTCTGATAAAAGTTAATTTAAGCTTAAAATAAGCCAAGCAAACTGTACTGCACTTAAACACTCTGTGCCCCCTTTTTGGACCCTTACCCACAGTTTGAGAACCCCTTCTTTAATTAATATAATTTCTACTGGCACTTTACAGAAAACTGTGAAGAAAGTGAAGAAAGTTGTTTTCTTAAGTTCCTAACTGGAGTTATACCTTGAGTCTACGACAAGACCGAGTTCAGGCACCTTTAAGACCGAGACAAGACCGAGTCCAAGCCCCTTCAAGACTGAGTCCAAGCGCCTTCAAGACCGAGTTCAAGCGCCTTCAAGAGCGAGGCAAGACTGGGTCCAAGCACCTTCAAAACCGAGACAAGACCAAGTCCAAGACTGTAAAAAACGGTCTCGAGGTCGGTCTCAAGACCGAGACCGGTCTCGAGTACTTCAACACTAGCATATACTAAATTCAGTGTTTAGAATATAAAAAAATACCTTGACAAATGTATTGTAATCAGGTCACCTCTCCACAGATCACCAGTTGTCTCCATGAAGATAGATGAGTTTAATATACTACAATACTCATAGCAAAGCAAGAGTGTCTCCCTGAAGCCCCACCTCCTCCCCCGCACCATCTCATCCTCTCATCGCCTCCTTCACTCGGCCTCACCTCTTCCACCTCCAGTGTCCAGGCCTCGGGGATAAGACCTCTAAACATCATCTGATCGGACATGCCTTTCATCGCAATGTTTTCTGCTGGGGTCTGAGTCTCTCCAGGTTGAAATATCCTTGGGTTATATTTGACTTCAGAATAATGACTCCCTGCTGTCTCAATGATCTGTTTAACTCACAGACATTACTGGACATTAACGGACCTGCACAGCTCCAGCATGTCTTCATAATCCTAATAGCAGCTCAGCGCAGTCACTTACCAGGGGCTGCCAGGTTCTGTATGTGAGCTGGCAGCTGCACGTTGGCCTCAGAGCACAGGGACAGTCGGCCTCCTTTGCCCAGGCGGTCGCACAGCAGAGTGATGTGCTTCTTCAGACGCGCTGTGTCTTTGGGCAGCTCCAGCACGGGGCCCCCGCTCTGGGCCAGAGACAGGGCCTGCTCTTTGGGGCTCCGGGACAAGCAGGTTCTCAAAAGGTGGGTCACGGCCGCGTCACAGCTCTCCTCCCAGCCCTGGAGTCAGAGGCAAAAGAGAAAATGGTGTTAAATATATACTGAGGTGGGTTGTTTTTAAAAATGTCAAATTATTTGTGTCTAAGAAAGTGTTGGTATTGGAGCTAATTAGTCAAGCCTTTTATTTTGGACATTTTGGTGTTTTCAAGGGCCAATATTGCACTATTTTTGGATCTATGCTATTATGGTGTATCCAAAAACATACCCAAAGTTGTGTTTTGTTTCAATCACACACGTAATACAGGAAATGCGTTTTTAAACTACATACCTATTCTCTAGAATCATTTGGATAATTTCATATCTAGGATTGCCAATCTCTAGTGAACTAAAGGTAAAAGATAATTGTTACTTGATAACTATAGCACTTAAAGAGATCATAGGGTGGACCAGAGCATTTTGAGCTTTGGAGAGGAAAACAAACATAGCTAAAAGAAAATCCTATTCTGTAAACTGGACAAAAGTTAAATATGAAATGTTAACCCTTTCCACTCACCTTATGGTTTGGGATTATAGTTTTTAACATTCAAAATACTGTCAGTGCATTTATTGTCGTTTCTTTTAAACAAAAGGTGCAGACGTTCAGAAATAATCATAATAGCCTCATGAGAACTTAACAGAATGCCGTAGCTGCGTGAAAGGGATACTAAAATTCCATGACTTTTCCAAAATTTTCATTGAATTTACAGGCCTGGAAAATGACATTTTCAGTTTCCTTTTCCAGGATTTCCATGACCATGGGAACCCTGAAAATGTTATATCCAATTCACTGAATTGTTTCATAAAATGACTCAAGTAAGAGTAAAAAAGTATTTGGGAAAATTACTACTTAAGTACTACTATTACTTATTACTTATAAGGGTAATTGTACTGTCTGTACACAACATCAGATTTATAGTTTGAAGTGAATATAAGTAGAAAGTCAAAACAGTGAATAATAAACAAAATCTGCGATTAGATCTGCTGCTGTTACAAAGTAAATGGAACTGAATAAATGTACTAACCGCCTCGATCAAAGAGTGCAATTTGATTTATTTTTTCTTTTAATTAAACCAGCCACAATGGCAAACAGTGGCTGCTCATTGTGGTTGTGATCTACGAGCTAACTGCTCTGAACTATGTGAAAACTTCACCTGGGGATAGATCTTTATGTACCGGTATACTTGTAGATGTTTCTTTATTAAAGTAGGTATTCGTGTCTCAAAGCTATGCTGACCTAAATTAAACCTCAAACAGGAAATGAAACACTTGATGAAAATACAATTAATGACAGGCAAACAAGTTGTTTTTGTAGATGCAGTGGTGTCCCCTGGAGGCTTCAGGTTGTGGCACTATTTTCTCTTTAAAAATTTCAGTTTAACATTAGCTTTGAGACATGATCCTACCTTAAACACTGATGTATACTCTGGCAACGTCCTTAATATACTTTCAGTGATTATTTTCTGCAACTTCACATATTCATTATTTTAGCGTAATTCTGTAACTCTGAGAAAAACCAAAGAGACATAATTAGAACTGAGACCAATTCCCGGACATTTGACTCAACCGGAACTAGTGGCTCAGTATCGTGCAAAGAGCCCTTCAGAACAAAAACAGACCTTTATAACTCAACCATATACATGAGAAAGTTTGGATCACCAATGCTCTACTTACAGTATTTTAAAGGCTAGGGCCAAAGAAACAACTAAAATGGAATGGAATTGATTATAAACAAAGCAACAATGCAGAAAACGTATACGAAAATGAAGACGTTAACCTTAGAATTTGTGGATGCTTTTACAGCCCTCTTGGCATTTATTAAAGCGTAACAAAATAAAACACATGGAATCAATGAGATGGAGGAACACGGTCATGTACAGCGCTCATAAATGTCAGGCCGCTGAAAAGCATGTTTTGTACTGCTCTTTCCGTCGCCGTGGAAACCCGGATACAATGGTTATCTGTGCATTACATCTCGCACACAAGCACACACCTGACAGGTCCAGCAGCAGGCCCCACAATCCAGATCAATAAGCATGGACATTCTATTAGGCCAAATACTGGGCACGCCCAAGATCTTCTACAGATAGTTTGTGTTTCTTAAAGGTGCTCTGTGCTACTTGTTCTGGTGGATGGTCAGCTACTTGCTTGACTCTATGGAGATGTCATACCTTTGCTTGGGATGTTCCACAGTAATCAATTTCAAGCAGTGCAGACCTTCCATGGAGACAAGCATGTGACAAGATATTCAGTATACCATATTTTCTGAGTATAAGTTGCACTTTTTTCATGGTTTGGGTGGTCCTGCGACTTATACTCCGGTACATGTGACTTATATATTAAAATATAGAATTTCACATGTTTGTTATTTTCTCACTGACAGCTGCGAGAGGTGCTCTAGGCTTGTATGCCAGTATCTGCATTACTTCTGTACCACTGCCACTTCTTGCTCTATTGCTCATGTCTCCTGCAGAAAGAGCCGCTGTCCTGCCGCAAGTAGTGAAATATGCAGCAGAAGATGGTAACTGAGCAGCAGAAAGAAAGTTTGGAGTGAGTGAGAGACCTGTGAGAGACTGGTGAAAAGCGGAGTATACTCAAATTGCAATGAAGAAAACAAAAAAGCTAATTGCAGGCTAAGAGATGGATTTAGCTAGACTTAGCAGAGTTGTTCAGAAGTGACACAGAGGATGAAGAATTCAATGGATTTAGTGATTTGGAGTGAGATTGAGAGTCTGGCAAACTTGTTAAATTCTGTTGTTTATGCTCTAGTTATTTGAATAACTGCTCATGTTACGTTAACAAACCAGACTGTTCACCTGTTGTTCTCTATTTTATTGTTATTACCATAACTTCCCTTTCAAGATGAAACTTTGGTTCTTGGTCTCTGATTTTATAAAATAAATTTCCTCCAAAAAATGTGACTTATAGTACAGTGCGTTTTTTTTTTTTTTTTTCCATCATGCATGTTTTGGCTGGTTTGACTTAATCCAGAGCGACTACAGACCATGAAAAATTTAATTCATTCAGTTAAAAAAAAAAAAAAAAGTAAGTAAGTTAATTTAATATGGCAGTAATATTAGATTAGAAGTATGTATTTACTTATTTTTCTTCAGACCTTTTAGTATATTGTGTAAACTTTGAATCTTTATTTAAATTTATTTTTTATTAAAGGAAGCCATCTAGCTTTTTTATTACTACTATTATTGCCTGTATCTTTTTTTTTTTCTATTTATTTTTATGTTATTACCTTTTTATTATTTATTGGTATCCCTGTTCTTATTTGATTTCAATAGTTTTATTGTCTTAACGATTACTACAGGAGTTAAATAGAGCTTTATTTTATATTTCTATTGGATATGTTTTATTTCTTTTGTGCAGCACTTTGGAGACAGTTTTTTTTTTTTTTTTGTATGAAATGTGCTATAGAAATAAAGTGGATTGGATTAACATACACTGTTATTAGTATACACTGTCATTTCTGTTGAGAATAGAACGAGAAAAAAAAATCCACAACCACAAAGACAGTTTCCCCATATGTCCTTTACGTGGCTCTATCATTTTTTCCCCATGTAGTTGCCCCAGTCCAGATATATTACGTGCGCTGTTTGAATCTAATTATAAAGCGTTTTTGTCCTCCAAGAATCAGGAAGTGTGCTGTTAGCATGCTAGTTACCGTGAGCATTACCGTGATGTCAAAACTCTGCTCTGGCTTCTGAAAGTTGAAAAAACAGATTATAAAAACTCATTGTAGTGAAAAATTCAAATAGTTGGAACATTTAAAGTTGCACTGTGTAACATTACAACTGCTTGTAATCAGGAAGTGCGCCCTCAGCATGCTAGTTATCGCGAGCATTACGTGACGTCGAAGCTCCGCTCTGGCCTTGGAACGTTGGTAAAACAGATTATAAAAACTCATTGTAGTGAAAAATTCAAACATTCAAAATGCCTAAAGGTGCACTGTGTAACTTTACAACTGCTTGTAATCAGGAAGTGTGCTGTTAGCACGCTAGTTATTGAGCATTACCGTGATGTCAAAACTAAGCTCTGGCTTCTGAAAGTTGTAGAAATGGATTATAAAAACTCATTGTAGTGAAAAATTCGAATACTTGGAATGCTTAAAGGCGCACTATGTAACTTTACAACTGCTTGTAATCAGGAAGTGTGCTGTTAGCACGCTAGTTATCACGGGGATTACCGTGAAGTCAAAACTCCGCTTTGGCCTCAGAAAGTTGGGATAACGGACTATAAAACTCATTGTACTGTAAAATTTGAATACTCGGAATGCTTAAAGGTACACTGTGTAACTTTACAACTGCTTGTAATCAGGAAGTGTGCTGTTAGCATGCTAGTTATCATAAGCATTACCAGGACATCAAAACTCTGCTCTGGCCTCTGAAAGTTGGGAAAACTGATTATAAAAAAACGGATTATGTAGTGAAAAATTCAAATATTCTGAATGCTTAAAGGTGCACTGTGTAACTTTACAACCACTTGTAATCAGGAAGTGTGCTGTTAGCATGCTAGTTATCACGGGGATTACCGTGAAGTCAAAACTCCGCTCTGGCCTTTGGAAAGTTGGGAAAACGGATTATAAAAACACGCTGTAGTGAAAATTTTGCATACTCGGAATGAATGAAAACACTAAACTAGGCTAAGATACAGGTCAGATCTATGGAGAGGCGTCTCAGTGTAATCAGTAAAAGCTTCTGTAATGGAATAAATGCAAAATAGACTAGTTTAATACCATACTGTGGAACATTCAAGGCAAAACAATCACCATCCCATGAAGACAAGCAGGCGGTGAACCCTCTACCAGAAAACTTACACAGTGCATCTTTAAAGTGAGGTAAGTGCAAACCGTTTTAAATCAACTAGTTCTGTTTTTTTCACAGCCAATTAGCACAGATTTATTAGGGACCCAGTGCACCAGCCCGTGTCCGTCTCCATCTGATCTCTGGAGAAGTGGGCGGGGTTATCAGACAGGGCGTGTAGCGAGGGGGGCGTGATGACAGGTAACCCTCCAT